GGGCTGTGAATATTCCCTTTGAGTGGAATAGTGAATGAACTTCTCAGATTTCTGGGAGAAACTGAAGCCAAATTTGATCACGTCTTTATTCTCTTTCTCTTTACTCTTTTATTACTCCTTCATTTATGATGTATCTATTGACTTGTGTGTGTGTGTGTGTGTGTGTGTGTCAGAACATGACGTTACTTCACTGAGACACTTTAATCAGCATCACTATTGGGGGAGGGGGGAGGAGACGGGGGGGGGCTCCACCCACATCAGCTACACGAGGGCATAGTACACTGTGGTGGGGGGGCAGGAGGGGGGTAACTAGTCATAGAGTGTGATTTAATCCCTGTAATGACCCTGAAGAGTTGGTACTGTTGTTGTTGTGGTTCTGGTTCTGGTTCTGATGGTTCTCCCTCTGTTATTGATGTTCTACACTAATGGGTTCTTTTCTCTGATTGGACGAACGTGTTCCTCAGACAGGAAGTGAAACTATGGAGAAATAAACGCCTCACTCTGGACACTACTGCCACTACGCTGTCTCTGAGCCTCTCTCTCTCTCTCTCTCCCCCCCCCACACACACACACACAGTAACAGCACCCCCCCCCCCCCCCGTGCTCTCTGTCCCTCTCTCTCTCTCTCACACACACACACACACAGTAACAGCACCCCCCCCCTCACCCCCCCCCACTCTCTGCACCCCCCAAATGGGTAAAAAATCTTGAGAGGGGAATTTTCCCCACTCCTCAACGTGAACCAGATGTGTGCCCCTTGGCTGAACCCCCCTCCCCCGTCCCCCCCCCCGCCCCCTTCTTCCACTCCCACCATTTGTCCCCCCTCTTTAAAATGCTGCGTCTGAAGGTTCCTCCCTCAGAAGGTTCCAGGTCCTGTTCCAGGATGGACCACCGTGTGCTGCTGCTGCTGCTGCTGCTGCTGCTGCTGCTGCTGACTGGGGGTGAGGCTCTGCAGGCTTCAGGTGAGTCCACTCACCCCTCACACTCACCCCTCACACTCACCCCTCACACTCACCCCTCACACTCACCCCTCACACTCACCCTGAATGAAGGATTCATGAAGGAACCTGAAAGTTCTGGAACTGATCAGCTGGACTTCTGTTTGAGTTTCCACCTGAGAAACAGACGATGGGACGTGTGTGTGTGTGTGTGTGTCCAGACTGTACACACACACACACACACGTACTGCAGATATAAAACATACATATGTCCAAAGTTAGCAACAGACGTCCACATCTGTACTGACAACAGTCAGATCTGCTGGTTGTAGTTGTACCACAGTTGTACTGCAGTTGTACTGCAGTTGTACCGTAGTTGTACCACAGTTGTACCGTAGTTGTACTGCAGTTGTACTGCAGTTGTACCACAGTTGTGTAGTTGTACCACAGTTG